ATGTTAAAAAGCTGTAAACTAATTTCACTAGCAGTCGCGGCATTCGACATCGCTCCGTTATTTGTTCTTTTAACACATGTTTATTAGTTAGCTTTAAGTTGCGCGACACTGTGTTGTGTGATAGTGTGACGGTTATCTGATATAGATGATATAATGAGACTAAAGATAGCGGAAATAAATAATTGACACAATGTTGAGTTTGTAAAAGATCTCGGGAAATCTAAAAATTGACATTTGAATTTGCAAAGGAGCATGGGAAAACTTAAAAAAATGACAAAAATTAAATTGCTAGAAATCTAAACATTGACAAATTGTTAAGTGAGTAACACATCACAATTTTAGATAAGGATGTTGATTTGTTACCCAACCTCCTAGTACAACATAAAACCTTGGTGTCCGATAACTAAACATGCCCAATACTTTATTTAAAACAGTAATAACAACTGCATCAAGATCAGAAACATAACATTAGATGGAAATTGCGTGATTTTTAAATTATCTTCTGTTGGTAACCAAACAAAAATAAAACTAAGCACGAATCGAAAGTTGTACCCTCCCCTCCACCTCTTTTCCACAATCTCAGACAAGCAACAAAGAATTCTTTTTTTAAATGTCTAAATCTATTCTCACCTTTCCACTCTGTCATAATTTGACATCCTAACAATTTCCATTCACCTAAAAACATTACAAATAAACCCGGTTAAACCTGGTTTCAAGTCATCTACTCGAGGAAAAAAAAATGCCCACTGAACGAGATTACAGACATCGATCTACGCCAGACGGATTGCCCGGATATACAGATTGTATCGAACTAATATATATTAAAATGTGCAGCTTAATTCGTTGAGTCCTGTATTTAAACCGCCTGGTTAGTTTAGTTATAGGTTTCATATTTTGGCTGGATTGCACTGAGAATCATCAATTCTGGTCCAAAGATGAAGTTATGCGAGTTCATTTCGTTGGGTCTTCATGACCAGTATTCAACCAAATCAGTCATGACAAGATAATCGAACTCATCTTGTGTGAAACCATACGATACCCTCTCATCAAATACAACATTTGATTTTTTATGAAAGAAAATACCTGTCTTCTCAGCTGTTTTCACAAATTTGACCAAAACTTTTCTTTAAGTGAGACCGAAATCTGTATATTTATCAACTTTACGTTCCTGCTCAAGACACACGGGGCAGAGGAAGTAGAGTTCGTCTGTTTCAGAGACCTCGGCATATGAAGTGATAGTGGGGTTAGCACTATGTCCAACCGCCTTTACTTCCCTAACGTTTAGGTACCCATCAGAGTTGGGTGGACTCAGGGACGGTCTACTGACTTGAACCCGGATTCGACCTCGAGACTTTCGGGTAAGAAGTCTAGCGCTCTAGCGCTAAGAAACGCTATCTATCATGAGACCGTAGACTTTCTTCTAGCCTGGAATCAAAGGCCTCTTATCTTATAGCACCGTAAGGGGTCTTTCTTTTTAAATGAGACTGCAAACTGTCTCCTAAAACAGGACAAAAACTACTTGTCATATTGAACCAAAAGCTGCCTTGTTTGAACTGGACTAAACGCTGTCTTTTAAAATCGAACCAACTGTCTGATTAAAAATGCCATATGTTGTCTTTAAACTTACGGGATCAACCATCGTTTACTCTAAATACGGCTGTGTGCACACACAAAATGTAGCTGGATTAACTGTTACCATTTTAATCCTTAAGCTTCTAACTGTCAACTGAATTCTAATCTGTCACTATACATTGTAGCGACCGAATAACATCAGCTCTACAAAATGTCTATCTCTGTTCATGATTTATTTGTAATAAATCGATTAAAAATAATTATAATTATTCATTTTTTTAAATAATTAGTTGAGTAGCCATTGAAACTCAACAATTTTAACTCTTATTTCTGTACCACCTAGGTTCTAAGGCTCACAGACATCCACGCTACTTTTCATATTTAAGGTTCTGGTTGTGTCAGTGTGTGTTCTTTAACTTGTGTTGGGAAAAGATTAAAGTCTAGATACATTGAGTAAAGATATAAGCAAATCAACGAAGAAGAAAAAGTGTTTTGTACTTTACTTATAAATGGATGCCTAAAAAAGACTTAATTGCGAAACTCTTCAAGGAAAAAAACTCACCAGGATAGAAAAACAATTGAAGTGATACAGGTAGATCTTGTAGGTGAGAAAACGATTGTGTTTAACCTGTAACGTCGGTGTGAAGTCTGGTTAGACAAGGTCAAGGTTTAATAGTGGTGGGTCTATGATCATGGGTCTGTCAATATGGTCTATGGGTCTATTAACATAGGTCTGTGTTTAGGGGTCTATGGATCGCTGAACATGGGTCTGTCAATATGGGTCTCTGGGTCTATGAATATGGGTCTGTGAATATAGGTCTGTGAATATGGTCTATGGATCTCTGAATATGGGTCTGTGTTTAGGGGTCTATGGAGATCTAAACATGGGTCTGTCACCATGGGTCTCTGGGACTCTGAACACGGGTCTATGATTAGGGGTCTCTGGATCTCCGATTATGGGTCTGGAAATATGGGTCGCTGGGTGTACAAACATTAATGAACATGTGTCTCATAAAATAATTTATGACACGGATAATTAAACATGGGCCTAAGAAGATGGGGCTAATGATCATGAGTATAATCTGGTTCTAGAGCTCATTGCGTCGTACTAATATAATATTCTAATTTTTGTGGCCAACTTCACATTCAGTACATCTAAAAACACGAACTTTCTGGCAGCTATCACGTTTTTATCTCTGTTCATAATTTGAACAGGGACAAATAATTTGATAATTTTCACAACAACCTTCAGCATATGCACGTAACTATCAATACTGTTCACAGACACATTAAAACAGGAAACTGACAATATTGTTTACAGACAAACAAAAGCACGCAACTGACAATATTGTTTACAGACAAACAAAAGCACGCAACTGACAATATTGTTTACAGACAAACAAAAGCACGCAACTGACAATATTGTTTACAGACAAACAAAAGCACGCAACTGACAATATTGTTTACAGACAAACAAAAGCACGCAACTGACAATATTGTTTACAGACAAACAAAAGCACGCAACTGACAATATTGTTTACAGACAAACAAAAGCACGCAACTGACAATATTGTTTACAGACAAACAAAAGCACGCAACTGACAATATTGTTTACAGACAAACAAAAGCACGCAACTGACAATATTGTTTACAGACAAACAAAAGCACGCAACTGACAATATTGTTTACAGACAAACAAAAGCACGCAACTGACAATATTGTTTACAGACAAACAAAAGCACGCAACTGACAATATTGTTTACAGACAAACAAAAGCACGCAACTGACAATATTGTTTACAGACAAACAAAAGCACGCAACTGACAATATTGTTTACAGACAAACAAAAGCACGCAACTGACAATATTGTTTACACAAACACAAAAGCACGCAACTGACAATATTGTTTACACTAACACAAAAGGACGCAACTGACAATATTGTTTACACAAACACAAAAGCACGCAACTGACAATATTGTTTACACAAACACAAAACCACAAAACTGACAATATTGTTTACAGGCACACACAAAAAAAAAACTGAGAAGTTTTCAACAAGCCAAAAAAAAACATCCCCTCAACATTCAAAGCCAAAAAATATGTATTCCACAGATTCTGCATCTTAGCAGATAACAGGCTATCTCAAGGCGGGACTTGTAGCATGTTGCCCACCGGTTGCAAACCGGCTGCAGACCGGCTGCCGGTCGGCCCTAATTGCGCATGCTCCCCTTAGCTCATCCATTATTCAAATTCCAGCTTTCGCCACTTTGCTTAACTCCCCTCGTTTATTTTATTTGTGAGGGGGGGGGGGGGGGGTGACCTTAAAAAATGACATTTGGGTTGCAGTTTAAGTACAATTACTTAAGGTGGATTGGATTGTTTTTAGGAGTATTTTTTTGTGGAGAGGATTTTTTTTTTTTTAAATGCGGTTTATAATATTTTGTTGCTGTTTTTTTTTAAATTTTGCAAATAAATAAATTTTAGAATCTAAAAAATGTGACATTTTTTGTTGAGGTTTAAAGACAACTATCAAGGCTAATTAAGATTTTTTTTCTTCTTTTTTTTGCTGAATTGGTGTTACAATATTTTTGTTCTTTACCGATTATTATTTTATGTTAGTAATAGTTTTATCTTTAAAAGTTATGTTATTTATTACATCAATGATCGAACATTATCACAGATATAATGAAACAGCATCAAAGATATGACAGAATTCATAATAGATGTGACCGAACATCATCAGGATGTGAACTATCATTATCTTAGATGTGATTAAACATCATCTTAAACGTGAAAACATCATCATAAATGGAAGGGAACTTTATGACAGACTTGAATGAACCTCATAATGTGTTAGAAAAAGGGTTAGAACAGATGGGACAGAACATCAAGTTAAATGTGATCAAATCATCACAGATGTGAAGGAAGATAATGATAGACGTGAACGAACATCTTCATAAATTAAAACATCAACTTAGATGTAAACAAACATCATGATAAGTGAACTCCAGAATAGATGAGAATGAACATCATATATGTGAACTTCATCATTGATGTGAACTCTTTCATTAATGAGAATGACATCATTAATGAGAATGACATCATTGATGAGAATGACATCATTGATGAGAATGACATAATTGATGAGAATGACATCATTGATGAGAATGACATCATTGATGAGAATGACATCATTGATGTGAACTCCATTATCGATGTGCTCTATCACTGATGAGAACAAACAACATAGATGTAAACTCCATCACTGATGAGGACACACATCATTGATGTGAGCTCCATCATTGATGATGACACACATCATTGATGTAAACTCCATCACTGATGAGGACACACATCATTGATGTGAGCTCCATCATTGATGATGACACACATCACTGATGTGAAGATGATGAGCAAACGCCTTACCTGCACAGGAAGCAAGGACGGCGATACACAGCGCGCGATTCAGCCAGTCATCCATGTTGGTTGTTCTCGTTCAACTCCATTCATTTTGGCCGCAGCATTCCAAGTACTTCTTAGTATCCACTTCAGCGGAATTTACAGCCCGGCCAGGCGCAAATTGCGTTACTATTGACGGCAATCAAGCAGCCCAGCGTCCTAAACACGTTGAAATATGATGGGGGAGGGAGGGGGGAGAATATGTGCTTTTTTTTTTTTTTTTTTTTTTTTTTTTTTTAAGCGCAGTAAAGACGTGAAATGAATAAATGTAAACACGAGTGGCGCCCGAAGCTTGCTGGGTTATGTCCCGTTTTCCTTCCGGAAGTCTCCTGCGATTGGTTGAGGTCTGGGTCTAGAGAAGGCACACCTGCATCTTAGGCAGAGTAACTTTCCTTGGTTCTAGTTGAGTAAGAATATGAAAAAAAAATATTGTTTCAAAAACAGATATATTTATGCAATTGGTGAATTTTTAACAAACGAAATATAAAAATTTGGCAAGTGCTAATTAGTGCAAGAAACGTATGTGTATATTTTAAATGAGATACGAAACAGTAATTATGGGATATTTTTAGAAAAGCTTTAACATTTATTATGCAATTATATGATTTTTTTTTTTAGGAAAACATAAGTTCACAGACGCTTTTAAATTTGATATTTATGTATAATTAGCACATTGATCTGAATTAGTTCGATTATATCAGAAAATAACATTAGAAGCCCAACCCCCCTATTAGAATATGACAATGGCAGAAATATCAAATTATGGCGCGCATCATTGTGTACTAACTGACCCCCCCCCCCCTACCTCTCCTTCCCTTATTATCAGAACGCGAAGAGCAAAATGTTTTACAAGAACTGTAGAAATACTGACATTAGAAGCTACGCATTTGCTGCTGACATTAGGTGCTACTGACATTAGAATCCACACATGTGCTACTGACATTAGAAGCTGCACATGTGCTACTGACATTAGAAGCTGCACATGTGCTACTGACATTAGAAGCTGCACATGTGCTACTGACATTAGAAGCTGCACATGCGCTACTGACATTAGGTGCTACTGACATTAGAAGCTGCACATGTGCTACTGACATTAGAAGCTGCACATGTGCTACTGACATTAGAAGCTGCACATGTGCTACTGACATTAGAAGCTGCACATGCGCTACTGACATTAGGTGCTACTGACATTAGAAGCTGCACATGTGCTACTGACATTAGAAGCTGCACATGTGCTACTGACATTAGAAGCTGCACATGTGCTACTGACATTAGAAGCTGCACATGCGCTACTGACATTAGGTGCTACTGACATTAGAAGCTGCACATGTGCTACTGACATTAGAAGCTGCACATGTGCTACTGACATTAGAAGCTGGACATGCGCTACTGACATTAGGTGCTACTGACATTAGAAGCTGCACATGTGCTACTGACATTAGAAGCTGCACATGTGCTACTGACATTAGAAGCTGCACATGTGCTACTGACATTAGAAGCTGCACATGTGCTACTGACATTAGAAGCTGCACATGTGCTACTGACATTAGAAGCTGCACATGCGCTACTGACATTAGGTGCTACTGACATTAGAAGCTGCACATGTGCTACTGACATTAGAAGCTGCACATGTGCTACTGACATTAGAAGCTGGACATGCGCTACTGACATTAGGTGCTACTGACATTAGAAGCTGCACATGTGCTACTGACATTAGAAGCTGCACATGTGCTACTGACATTAGAAGCTGCACATGTGCTACTGACATTAGAAGCTGCACATGTGCTACTGACATTAGAAGCTGCACATGTGCTGAGGACATTAGGTGCTACTGACATTAGAAGCTGCTCATGCGCTACTGACATTAGGTGCTACTGACATTAGAAGCTGCACATGTGCTACTGACATTAGGTCTACTGATATTAGAAGCTAAGTATGTGCTGCCATTACTGCTTCGACACAATGACTATCTAGCTAGACAGACGTTTTATGGCTCGTTAAATTAAAAGATCAGATTAAGGTTCGTAAATATGTAACGTCGTTGTTTTTCTTACGTGTTACATTGTTTTAGTACATACTCTAAACTTGTATTTTATAATACTTTTTAAGAAAATAATCTTAACTTGTATTTTATAATAGTTTTTAGTACATACTCTAAACTTGTATTTTATAAGTTTTTTTTTTAGCTTTTTTTTTTTTTTTGCATAAATTATTTTTCTAGTACATAACTCTAAACTTTTATAATGGTATTCTATAACATAAATTATGTTCATGAAGACCGCCTTCTTTTTTCCCGAAATATTATAACTTTATACCCTTTATAAGTCAAATCTTGAATTAGTGATCAAAGTGTTTTTAAAAAAAAGAAATGAATTGAACATGAAACAAAATTTATTCATAACTTAAATAACCTTGAAAACTGAGATGTTAAGAACGGAAATATTTTTGAAGTAAGTTTGGAATAAATGTGTTGAGATTGAACAAATGGAAGGAAAACATATGTAGGTGATAACGTCTTTAACACATGAACCTAATTTGTTTGAATATTCATTAGGTGTGCAAGGACGGGCAGGTGAGTACAGCAGCTACAAGGCTCAGGTAATGTCAGCTGTTGTCTAGATGATATACTGTGTGGGTAGGGGCTGGGATAAAGGTGTTGGTGGGGTATGATATGGTCAAGGATAGAGTGGTGAATAATGATAGGAATGTAGGAAGGTGTATGGGGAGGGATTTGTAGAGGTGTGTGGGTAGGGGTGTGGGAAGGTGTGTGGGTAGGGATGTGGGTATAGATGTGCACATCTATACCCACATCCCTACCATGGGGAGGTGTGTGGGTAGAGAAGAGGGGAGTTGTGTGGGTAGGGTTGAGGGAAGTTCTTTGGGTAGGGATGTGTGGAAGTGTGTGGGTCTGGATGTGGGGAGGTGTGTGGGGAATTGTGTGGGGAGGTGTGGTGGTAGGGATGTGGGGAGGTGTGTTGGGGAAGGATTGGGGAGGTGTGTGGGGAAGGATTTGGGGAGGTGTGTGTGTAGGGATGTGGAAGATGTTTGGGCATGGATGTGGGGAGGTATGTGAATTCTAATGTGAGGAGAGAGTGGCCGGAGTCTAGTCATGTTGCTGTTTGACTAGTGTCCGGGTACGGTCCCCTGTAGTGTGATTGTAGGACGCTAGTAGTGTAACGTTAGGACGCTTTTAATGGCTGACTAGGATGCGGGTAAAGAAAAAAGGTAGAATCGTCTGTATGTATGTACACGCATGATTCAGATAGGTTTTTATACCTCTTGAATGAAAAAGTTTATAAATACCAGAATCTACATTTGAAAACATCAACCACACGTCCTACTAAAAAATATAAACAAAAACAAAAATGTAGCAATATTTGGACTCTTCAATTATGGATCATTAGCCAAAGCAAAGCGAGGCAGCAATGTTTTATGTTTAATGCGCTCATTAAGATTGTTACAACTCCCATTGGTAAATCTCCCTTTCATTAGTGGGCTCACACAAGGTCATTAATTCAATTTCTCCCCGCGCACACGGCAAAGGCAGCGTTAAAAATCATCAAAGGTTGGCTTATTGGGGGTCAAGTTGGGGAAGATGTTGCATTTTATGTCGGTGTCGTGTTGGTGGTTGGTTGTAAGGGTAATGTGGTTAGGAGGGTATTTAGGACGTTGTGGTGGGGGTGTTAGGAAGTTGGTGAGACCACCTCCGCATATTTTATATGATATATATATATATATATATATATATATATATATATATATATATATATATATATATATATATATATATATATATAAATATATATATATGCATATGCGTTATATATATATATATATATATATATATATATATATATATATATATATATATATATATATATATATATATATTTATATATATATATATATATATATATACACGCATATATATATATATATATATATGCATATGCGTTTATATATATATATATATATATATATATATATATATATATATATATATATATATATATATATATATATATATATATATATATATATATAATTTACTTTTATTGTACTAATGTCAGATAACATGTTGCAGATTAAATCTTTACTATAAAAAAACTAAACATGCGTTCCATTCGTTCGCTTCTATTGCCCATGCTCTAGACCAGGGGTCTCCAAACTACGGCCCGCGGGCCGGATGCGGCCCGCGAAGTCCTCTCATCCGGCCCGCGGAGATCTTTTTGTCCAAGGAAAAATCGTTTGTTAGTGATGGCTGAGGAACTTTGCCCAGAAAAATCAAAGACATGCCTAGAAGAAACTGGCCCCCGAATTGAAATTTGATAGTTAATGCGGCCCTCGGATTGAAAAGTTTGGAGACCCCTGCTCTAGACCTTAATATCTGCTAGATCAAAACGGGTTAGATTAAAAAAAATCAAATGTGCCACGTGAAATAGTTTGACTGAATTCATAAAAAAAAACATGCGTAAAAATAATCATGATTTTCGGAACAATCTAGGGTATAATGCACTTTCACGTGCATTTAATTTTAGGACAGTGAGACACTATTGTTGATGAATAATTATACATACGAGTCTTACAATAAAGAATTTTTTCCCATTTCTAACCGACCAATGAGGTTGACGTAAGAGGATCACGTGGTCACCGGGTACACACCCACAGTTCCTTCAGTTCCCGGTACACTGGGGTCAGGGAACCGGGGAATCGTGCCAGCCATTTCTATGGAAATTCTTTAAAGCAAACATCGCCTACTTCCACAGCCCAATTCTGCTCAAGCGGTTTAGCTCCGCTTTATTTAAGCCATCGGGGTCTAGTAGAGAGTTTAGCTCTGCTTATCTCAACAATCCAAGACTTGCAGAGATTTTAGCTCCACTTTATTTAAGCCATCAGGGTCTAGTAGAGAGTTTAGTTCTGCTTTATCTCAACAATCCAAGACTTGCAGAGATTTTAGCTCCACTTTATTTTAACTATACGTTTTTAGCTGATAATTTAGCTCCACTTTATTTTAACTATTCGTGTCTAGCTGATATTTTAGCTCCACTTTATTTTAATTATACGTGTCTAGTTGTTATTTTAGCTCCACTTTATTTTAACTATTTGTGTCTAGCTGATATTTTAGCTCCACTTTATTTTAACTATTCGTGTCTAGCTGATATTTTAGCTCCACTTTATTTTAACTATTCTAGCTCATAGACATTGTTCTAGTGTTACGACAATCT